TGTCTCAGCATTTACCAATTTGGCTTGTAAACTTAACAATATGAATCAAACCCACTGCTTAATTTTATGAACCCTTAATGATCCCCCTTTATTACCGTAGAGAAATGTGTGATTTTCCGTACGTGGAACATATACGGCTTGTAGGTTGGAAACCCTGAATCCAAATGTGACGGTAGAGCGGGTTCAAAATTATTCGGTAATTGGAAAACTTTTTTAAAACCGAATTATGTCCCTCTTTCGAGTATAAAATTGGATGAAGACGTGAGTGTCTACCGAATGAGCAAAAGAATGAATATTTTTATGCATGATTTCCCCGAAATATAATTGGATTCTCAAGGGCATCGAAAATCAAGGGCAAAATTTCATGCTTCCTAAGTAGTCATTTTCATAGAGTGTGGTTTTTTCTTGCAGCCGGAAAGAAGTTCATTCAAAAGCCGGCATTCTGAGATAACTGAAATATTATAGGATTTGGTTGCGGGCTGACTAGTTTTACAACTCTACTAAATTACTCTTTTCGAAATGGAAACGCATTTCGGAATTTCGGTTGGCATTTAATGAGTTAGCCCACCTACTCTATATGAGTTCGCAATGAGCCTTTTGACCACCCCGCACTCCAAATGCCTACCGCTGCCTGCCGACAGTCTTTGTTATCTGAATTAATCAGACATGAAATCGACGTGTGACCTTGAACTAGTGCAGACTATGATATAGGCTGTTAGGTTCTGCTTTTAGTGCGGTGCCCGAATCAACATCACACCCATTCTTTAACCAGCACCTGAAACAAACGCCCAAATAGCTAACTGCTTGGTTTAGTTGAAAAGTGACCCAGAAGTTATCAAGAATTGCGCGCGTCAGAGACCTCTGATGCGATGGAATAAGGTGTTAGCTTAAAATCCACTATTATCCTGCGATCATTGACGTCCATGACCGTCCACCCAGTGATTCTGAAACGCGAAAGCTGATCAGGCAAAGAATTCAATGTCGACCCCATTTTGGGTTAGCCAATAGCGTTTTATTCTTTTGTTTCTACAATTCCTCTGCTCTGACAATGAGCAGTTGAGTTCCTCCGCAAACGATTAATCATTTTTCGAACTTTGAAAATGACAGGTGTAAAGTAAGTGGATCAAGTGAAGTACAGCATTTTAAGCCTCTTCAGCGGTTTTGTAAGGGTCTGCGAACAGCGTCATGGCTTGGCGTAGGCAAGGGGTTATAGCAGTCCATCCATATCGGCTTTAATTAGTGTGCCTGTCGCTATCATTCTAGTTACTACAGTATTTTTTTGTGAAAGTGAGCTCTAACACTTCCAAGGTCAGTGGCCACCGAATTACGCAATCTCGGTAGACGTTGGTGACGGCGAGCAACCTGACACGACAGTTCGACCGTCGCGTCCGCTGATGTCCACCCTGGGCTCCACAGCAAGGTGAAAGCAGGCATGATGAGCTGCGCGTGAATTAGTTCATAGTGAGAGTAGACTTGCCCAGTGTATACTGTACTCTCTCCTCCCCCACCTGGGTGCGGTGTCAAAACATAGACCGGAGGCGGGGGGGGGGACGCAGATGGCTGGAACGGCCGGACAGACATCTAGGCGTACCACCATTACAAACACTTGACCAGATTTTTAAACAACAACAACAGCACCACAAGGGGTCAGAGGATGACTGGGCAGCCATGCCCACGACCTGTATTCCCAGCGGCCGCGCAAGCGAATCTACCGGCAGAGAACCAAGTGCCAGCGCACATCAGACTGCGAGAGCCATGATTTGCCGATCATGATCAGGCTCTGAGGCTCTGATGCCTCGTACGTGGCACACATGTCCCCCAAACGGGTCACGCTGTGTATGAGCTGGACCAACACAGGGGGGCCATACTGGATTCTGGCAGACGTTAACAGGATGCACACTTACAACAAATTCCGACATTCGAGGTGCAATGGTAATTGCCCGTTCACGTCGTGCACACATTGAGATCCCTGCCTTCCCCCACTTCCATCGTTGGATAAAATCTCGGTCAAGTGTTTGTTGTGGACCAGGGGGTGTGGGGGTGCGCTCAGGTGCGGTGCCACTCACCTGCATCGGCTCCCGTCTCTGCTCGTCCTGACTGGGTCTTGCCGCTGGAATCAGGCGGTGTTTAGAAGGATAGGGTGAAGTAGATGCCGTGCAAGTCCGATATCACTATGAACCAATTTATGCGCAAGTCGCTGTCCAACGCCAGTCATGTTGTGAGGCACACCCTCGTTCTCCACGGTCGGACGGACATGAACTAAGCCGTAAACACATTTATTTGGAAGGTCGCACTTAGTGTTCTTCTTTTACTTTATCCCACTGCACTATGTTTCGATTTAGTTGATGATCAGGGGCACAGTAACCTCAGTTGGTGGACAGGCGGTCTTGCGATTCTACGAGTGTGTCAGCGTTCATGAGGTTGACAGCGACTTTCCTCGGGCCGCCGAGAGGACTTGGATGACACTGACACCACTGGATAAGGTAAGTGTGCCTATCGGGCGTATTTTTCATTCAAGTGCCATTTTTGTTGAAGTCTCTGGGGGAGTTTAGCCGGGGTCAGTCTGAGACTCCTTGTCCCAGCCGCAAGTCAGCCTTTAATTTCATGCATTCGAATGCCTGTGTCCGCTGCGATTTCTGAGGGTTGTGTACGTGAAGGTGTCATTCTACGATCCATCCTGATTGATGGACAGAAAGTGGTACTGTCTCGGACTTCCGGTGGAAGGAGAACCAGACAGCTTAAGCGAACTCAGTGGACTCGAGTTCAAACCACGGGTGCGCCGGCACCTGA